TTGTACTAATAGAGGTGGGGTCCACTTATATTTGTAAGCCCTACCTGTATTAAAGATGGTATAAATGTGATATGAACATTGTGATAAGTGTAAACATTTGCGAACAAATTAAATTCGTTTTTGTATGAGAATCCATCACAAATCATAAATATCTGGAAACTGCGGAAGTAACGAAAAGTTTTATACGTTTACCCACAAAACTTCCCTTTACATGTCTTCTCGAAATTGCTCCAGATTTGGTTAACATAAAGATTAACAACTTTGTTAATAACGCACCATGCATGTATCATTATAAAATCCATACCACAATCTGGATTTTCAATATTCAACCTTCTCTCATCGCAATGACAGGAAATAAGAAGAACCCTAATAACATCAAGACCACATCCTACTACAATTTCATGCCAACGAAAGCTGAAGAGGATGAGGCAAGGGCCAACAATCGCGAGGATCAAGTAAGAAGAACTCGTGTCACTACTACAATATTAGCTTTAGGTGTCGGACGATTCTGGCGGTTAATAAGCCATTCTGACGGATAAAAGATATCCGACACATAATTTATTTACTGTTGGATTAAAGTTACTTTCTGTCAACCACCATAAAATTATTATAACCCTCAGTATTTTTGAATTCTTTTCTTTTTTTAATATTTTTAACATATTCTGACGGTTTTTAAGTTAATGGTGGCGGTTATAACCGACAGAAATTGACTATTTTATTATTTTAAAATGTTATATTGATTAAAAATGAATAAATAAATAAACAAATGGTTTAAATATTTTTCTTTTCACTCACGGTCCCGTTACCTAATCTCTGAATGTTTTTTTCTTTTACGACTTTTTACGCATGCTATCTCGGAGTATATACAAACATATTTGACAGTTTGATCGTTGAAACTAGTTTCGTATAATATATATCCTATCAAATTGATAGATTTAACAAACACTTAAGAGTTAATGTTATACTTCCATTAAGTATAAAAAATTATCCACTAGTGTAAATATTTTAAATTGAAGATCGAATTTGTTCAATGCATTCTTATAGAGTCAAGGAGTGTAGCTATAAAAAATCATCAAAATCGGAGCTAAAATAATCATTAAATTGTGACTTTTCGTTTATAACCGTTAAAAACTTTTGTTTTGTTACCTAATATCTGAATGTTTATTTTTTGTGATTTTTTAGGTATGCGATCTTGGAGTATATACAAACATATTTGACGGTTGGATCGTTGAAACTAGTTTCGTAGAATGCATGTCCTATCAAATTGATAGATTTAACAAACACTTAAGAGTTAATGTTATACTTCCATTAAGTATAAATAGTGTAAATATTTTAAATTGAAGATCGAATCTATTCAATACATTATTATAGGGTCGAAGAGTGTAGCTGTAAAAAATAATCAAAATCGGAGCTAAAATAACCGTTAAATTATGACTTTTTGTTTATAATCGTCGAAAACTTTTGTTCTGTTACCTAATCTCTGAATGTTTGTTTTTTGTGATTTTTTAGGTATACGATCTTGGAGTATATACAAACATATTTGACGGTTGGATCGTTGAAACTAGTTTCGTAGAATGCATACCCTATCAAATTGATAGATTTAACAAACACTAAGAGTTAATGTTATACTGTAAATATTTTAAATTGAAGATCGAATTTTTTCAATGCATTCTTATAGGGTCGAGGAGTGTAGCTGTAAAAAATAATCAAAATCGGAGCTAAAATAACCGTTAAATTATGACTTTTCATTTATAACCGTCGAAAACTTTTGTTCTGTTACCTAATCTCTGAATGTTTGTTTTTTGTGATTTTTAGGTATGCGATCTCGGACTATATACAAACATATTTGACGGTTGGATCGTTGAAAATAGTTTCGTATAATGCATATCCTATCAAATTGATAGATTTAACAAACACTTAAGAGTTAATGTTATACTTCCATTAAGTATAAAAAATTATCCACTAGTGTAAATATTTTAAATTAAAGATCGAATTTGTTCAATGCATTCTTATAGGGTCGAGGAGTGTAGCTGTAAAAAATTATCAAAATTGGAGCAAAAATAACCGTTAAATTATGATTTTTCGTTTATAATCGTCGAAAACTTTTGTTCTGTTACCTAATATTTGAATGTTTGTTTTTTGTGATTTTTTAGGTATGCGATCTCGGAGTATATACAAACATATTTGACGGTTGGATCGTTGAAACTAGTTTCGTAGAATGCATATCCCGATCCCTAGTCCGGCCGCAGACTAACACACGCTCGCTGCTCCAATCCCTCTCGGAGATGTCGTACTTCGGTCGATCCGAACCTCCGGACATCAGAGACACCTACTTCCTCCTCATCCTCAACATCACTTTCTGTAATTCCCCTTTTACCCTTCTCATCCTTCTCCATCCCCTTGCTGAAAGCTCTAACTCTCTTTCTCTCTCTTTGTTTGGTTTGTGTTTACCAGGAACCATCGCGGATGACCTCTTCCCGCTCTTCGACAAGTACGGCAAGGTCGTCGATGTCTTCATTCCCTGAGACCGGAGGACTGGCGATTCTCCCAGATTTGCTTTTGTCCGATATAAGTATCAGGACGAGGCGCATAAGGCAGTGGAGAAGCTCGATGGTTCATCTCTCTCTCATAGGCCTCTTATGAGCTTAATTAGAAGATAGGGTTTTGTAATTAATTAATTGAATTTGATTTCAGGGAGAGTTGTTGATGGAAGAGAGATTATGGTTCAGTTTGCTTGATATTATGGGTATTGTGTATTTGGTATTTTCTCTCTTGATTTGAAACTCTACCTCCATCACTTGCATTCTTTGCTTGATTTGAATTTTCAAATATGTCTTTCCTCTTACCAGTTCGAGTATTGTCCAAATTAAAGCTTCCTTTTTTGATAACTTTATCTTTACTTTCACTATCTGTAACACGTTCCTCTGACTCTGTGGACTTAACATCCTTGGAATTTTTACCGTGGGCATCTGAAGGGATAGTAGAAAAGCCGTCTTTCAGTGGTAAATCATATTCATCTCTGGCATGCACTATTTTAATTATGGTATCATCTTTAGTTGCTGAAACATCTGGTTCACTAGCACCAAGTCTTCTTTTACTCTGAACATGATCAATGTGTTTTTTTTTTCTTTCATGCGCTTCCTTTGCACTTCGAACATATTTCCTTGCATGCGGACTTGCATCTTTAACCTTTTGGACATGTTGTGGCTCCAATGAACGATTACCAGAATTTTGCTCGGAAGCTGTTTTGAACATGTCCTTGTACGACCCCAATGCGGAGCAGATGTAAGTTGTTTGTTTGATATTATGGGTATTGTGTATTTGGTATTTTCTCTCTTGTTGTTGCTTCTTCTTCTTCTTCCCCCTCTTGCTTCATTTCTTCTCTCTCTCTCGCTCTCTTCAAAATCCCACAACAGGTTTCCAAGATCGAGCTCCGGCGAGGTTCCGAATGGTGAATGCAGGGGATATGAAAAATGCCAAAATAAATTTTTTTTATTATTAACATATTTTATGTCAGTTTTAGCCGACAAGAATGATTTTATTTATTTTTATAATAAATTCTCTGTCGGTTTTATCCCACAGAATTACTGGCGATTTTAGTATTTGCTGTCGGTTTTATCCGACAGGAATTCATTTATTTATTTATTATAAATAAAAATCCTGTCGGTTATGACCGACATGATTTGTGTCGGTTTTAGAGTATTTTCTGTCGGATTTTGCTTAAAATCTGACAGTAATATACGTTTTGTGTCGGTTTTTGAACCGCCAGTTATAGATAATTTTGTAGTAGTGTGTGAATAAAAATACTATTTTATGTTATGTGTTTGTTTAATTAATGAAACTTGACACACCCCGATCCTAGAATCAAGGCGTGCTGGCCGTCACGTGGGCGTGACGTAACCAAAAGTGCAACGTGGAAGCAATAGGTAAGAGAAATACGAACAAACAAAAACCAAATACTAGCAATAGTAACCAAGTAACATGCTAGAGTAAGTTTAAGTGTGAAACACACAAATTCAGATCATAAGTACTAGGTGCAGTCAAGTAGGGCCATAACTAAATTACAACACCCGCAAGTGAGTACTACATTTATGTAGTCTGTCAGTACGCCGTGAGAATCCTCGTGGGCCACCAACGCTGCTAACTAGAACTTGGAGGGGCGCAAAACAAAATTGAGTAGGTCAGTAAAACCAAAGTTTTTCAAAAACATTTCATTTAAAACATTTCTAACCCCTCGCTGTAAAACCTGTATACTTTCCCCAGAAAATAACATAATATGCATATAATCTTCGTATATCTCAAATCACAATTCTTTATCAAAACCCAGAAAATATGTCATGCCATAAATGTCAATAACAGATTAAGAATGCATCAATATAACAGGTGACATAATGAATTAACTAGAGACCCTGCAGTTGGTCCTGTACGGTTAATTCCATAGCTCAATATCCAAAACAACCGGAGTCACCACGGTGACCTGTACGGCACTACTCTGCACATAAGTCGGAACTACCTGAAGTAGTTTGTACGACAAGAATGGTGTAATACTACGCTCTAGTGCTTCACTTATCAATCATCTGTGCACATAATCTAAGGTCACCTACCAGTCGGAACCACCTCTAGTGATTTGTACGACTAGCATGTTAGAACCCTCTCATGGTCTGTAGACATGCACCTACTTGGATCCAAGGTGAGCGTGCGGTGCGGTGAATAATATAAGCACTATCACCAAGGTGCAGGTTATGAGCTCTCAACACAATTCACATCATCAATAAACCGTATGAATAACATAAAACTCACATGATACTTATCTGTGCGTCCATAGCACCAATTCACATATATGCATAAAATACTAATTCATATATTTCATATAATATGCATGCATGGCATTTTAAAACATACTTTCATTTATTTTCAATTTCTGGGAAAAATCAATAGTATATAGGTAAATACAAAAATAACTGCCCACTCACTGATAAGTCGAAGGGTTGTAACCCCTATGACGTCCCTGGATGCGCTCGTCCTCGGTATAGGTATCACCTATATGCGAAACAACTATAAAAACGTTAATTAAAGCACGTAACCGACAATTCGTAATAACTTCTCATACGGTGCTCAATTTGTGTATATGAATATACCACAGTGACCTACTCGACGTCACGGACGTCGACATATTTTTAGAAATTTTTTTTGAGGCTGCACGCGCCCCCACGCACCGGGAGGGGCACGGACCCACGCGCCCTACTCGCGTCATCTTCTTCCTCCAGTCGCCGGACTGGTTTTTCCTGTCGCAAAAAACTGTAGATTTTTCAATCTCCTTGTTCTCCGTTATTTCTCAACCATTTTTCACGCATTTTATATCAAAATGAAGCCCTAAGCATGTAGAATCACGTTGTACTAGTTTAAGGCTAAAAAAATTACGAAATCTCACCAGAGAAATTCCAAGAAAACCGGCTAACTTCGAACTCAGTGATCTCGACGTCCAAAACCTTCAAACTAAGCACTCCGAGCTTCCTTAGGACCTCACTAAGCTCCTTGTAAGCTTAGAATTCCCTGAAATTCAACAATTCACATGTGCATGAACAGTACTCAAATCGGACCTCGAGTTTTCAACGTGATATCGAGGGTTCTAAGTTCTAAAAATTGCACCATTCGAATCAGGAGGTTGAAAGGATGAAGAACCTCACCTTATTGGCGTCGATCTGTGATGATTTGAGGGTTTTGTTCTTTGTCCGTACAATTCGAAGGGAGAGAGAGAGAACCGAGAAGAGGAGAGAGAGAGCACGGGATAGGAGAGAGGGTGTGAGGTTTGATTTTAAGTGTGTGTCCCTCCCCTAACCACACAAAATGCAAATCAATTTTAATCCATTTTAATTTTCCAAACTTAGGAAAATATGTATTATTTAATAACAAGTCACACATATACCTTAGTAACCGTCAAAGGTACTTTCGTCATTTCACAACCTTGATAAATAGAATCTCGGGACGGGCTGTGACAAAACTTGGTAATAATTATCAATAAAAAGAAGAGAGTTGTTATTGTCACTCTTAAAAAAAAAGAGGTAAATTATCAATTTAGTTTCTGAATGATCACTTAAGTGAAAATTAAGTTCCGAAACTATTTTTTTTTTCAGAAAAATTAGTCATTCAATTATAAAATCTGTCAATTACATCACTGATTATATTCAAATTTCCGTCAATTTGAGTCACGTTACTTGCATATGATACACATTGGAAGGTAGATTGGTAATTTTTATAAAAAAATAATGTATGGAGTTAACTTTGAAGGGTAAATTAGATGTTAGATTCACAACTTATATGAAATGTTATGAGTTTATAGGGTAAATTAGGTGTAACACCCGTTAAAATAAACGGGTAAAATAACCCGACCCGAAATTGACCCGATAATATTAACAGGTAATATGACCCGACCTGTTACCCGTTAAGGAAAATATATTTTAAACTAATAAATAATCAAATGAAAAAACATAATACTAAATAAGTATATACATACCATATTGTCACATCCAAAACATAAAATAACAATTTTCTTTTTAGTATATATTTACATACCCAAAATAAGAGCATAATAAAAAAAATATTAGAACATTACAAAATATCAAATGTTCAAAGATTTGCAAAATTAAGGACATTGGAACCTTGCACATTTTCTTCCGCACATCCGATTCTTTCACAAGATGGACACATAGTGAGGGTGGTTGTTGGCATATGCATGTACAAAGGTTGGTTTAATCTGTTAGTGTTTCACAGAACTTCTTCAAGAACTCACAGTCTACTCAGTTTGCTTAAGCTTTGTCCTACTATATCCTAATCGTTGTTTGGTATGAAATTATGAATAGGTTGTGGCATTTCATCCAGCCATGGATATCATGGCTGAGCAATTTCCTGGAGCCTTCTCTGGATATTCTCTACAGGTACTTCACTTTTCCCTTATAATTTGTTACTGATGCTAAATATATTATAAGAGAAAGTCTAATTATTTGATAAAAAGGATCATTTTCAGTATAATATTGACATTCAAATGAAAAGAATGAGAAAATGCCTTGCGTGAAGAATGAAAACCAAATAACAATTAGCTCAAGAATTACAGTCGAATTCAAATCGAAAACCCACATTAGAATTACATACCTCCCAATGGATTAAACTACATACATACCAATCCATCCCAGATAACAATTAGCACAAGAAATAATGTAAAATTTGGGAAGGACTAGGTTTAGATTTGGCAGGTTTAAGCATCAATTAACATGAAACCTTAACAAAAACTAGAAGAAGAAAAAACCCAAATCTGAAAATGCAGTTCTTGATCCAAATTCCAATTAAATTCAAAAATGCCTACTCATATTGAAATCCCAATCCCAATGGACCCAATCCCAGCTTTTCAATTTTTGGAGAAGTAGACTTACGGTAGCAGTGTTGTCGGCGGTTGTGGTGTTGCCGAAGATGAGAGGGTTACGGGAGTGGGGAGAGAGAAACAGATTATTAGAGGATGCAAGAAGATAAACAGTTTGAATCGTTGATATTATGTTCAGAGTTTTACGTTAGTGAAAATATTGCTTGATGTTTATAAAGTTTCTACAAACTATATGACATCGACTCATATTTTAGTTAACTATAAATATCGAAACGTGATATCAAAGATCTGACCGTTCATCTTCTTAGACCGTTCATCTTCTTACATCCGCCAGATGATCATATTTAAAAAAAAAAAAAATTTAAAAATGAAATTCAGTAAGAAGAATAAAGCTAAATGACAATCAACATTTAAATTTAAATTTAAGGTTTATGGGTTATAGTGTTGGGTTTCGAAGCTGACCCCTTCATAAAAGTTGTAAAGTTTGTCACTATGAGTGGTTGTATATATTTTTTTTACACTTTTTACACTTCTACAATAATTATTATTAATTTTTCCCTCAAATAAAAAACATTATTAATGAGGGTTTGGAGGATTTTAAAAATCTAAACGATAATGTAAGTGTAATCATTATCTGTTAGTGGAGGAATAATGATAAATCACGAGTGTTTATATATTCTTTCACATTTTTTATACTTGTATGTATGTTTTCTTAGTTCTTGCATATACAAATACTATACTAGTTTATTTTAATTTTGGACAACAACATGTTAAGTAAAATTTATCCTAATAATGATAATAAGGAACTCTCATGTACCCAGTGCACAAGGCTCCCGCTTTACGCAGGGTCTAGGAGAGGTGAATGTCGGCTAGCCTTACCCCCATTTATAAGGAGGCTGCTCCCAAGTCTCGAACCCGAGACCTACCGCTCTCTCATAATAAAAATAAATAATGACTAAAACTTTTTTTTAAAAACTTATATAGAATAATAATACAAAACTATATATTTAATATAGAATATATTGAATATATTAATATGGCTATTGTATTTTATAATCAATATTTTAGTAATTAAACTTTAAAATTATCAAAATATTTTTTTTAACTGGTCGAAACAGGTTACCCACGTGTATATCCGTTATTAACGGGTCACCTGATAATGACCCGATTAGTTATCGTGTTGATTCGAAATCCGTTATTTTCGTATCGTGTCACCGTGTTTGTATTAGAAACTGCCAAGTCTACTTCACCCTATAGAAAATTATCATATATGCTTATTACTTAATGTGAGGAGTGCTAGTTAACATTATAATTTCTTAGTATTCGAATCTCTTCGAATTTTTAATAAGAGGAGTGTAATTTCACTATTTTGAGTTGCCATAACACCACCCAAAAAGAATTATCCTATATATACAGATACACTAATTACTTAAATATTTTTTTTTGGAGAAATTGTTTGTATGATGGTGTGTTCTTTCTCTTTCCTATGTCCTGGAAGATGTTTGAAGAGTTACTTGTAAACTAATTGGTCACGGACATCAAGTTATAAGCAGGCTTGGGCCAACAATAGCAAACATCATGTTTTGATCCAGCATACAAAGTCATGTTGAAGTGTCTTTCAACATGACATTTTATTATAAATTGAGATGTTATTATAGCAGTGAACTCGTTCTATATTAGCAGCATTCCTTGAGCCCAACCAAAGTCATCCAAACTCTTAGTCTCATCCTCACTTGTATAGTGTATTGTTTTAATTGTTAAATATGTACCCGAGTAATGTTATTTTTACCATCTAAATATACAATTCCGTCACTTAGTACTTTGGTCTAGTGATATTTATCTTCACTTGTAAGTGATAAATTTTAGGTTCGATTCTCGCCAAATGCGAAATTGAACAACATTATTACTAGCTCATTATGAGGGCAAACTCATCCCCTCCCTCTTAATATAGCACCTGAGGCCAATAGTCACATTAATTTAATTTGTCATAATAGTTTTTTTTTTTTTTTTTTGGAAGTTGATGAAACCTTATTGTTCACGTTTACTATCCTTGCCGTTGCCTCCTTTTTCTCTCTCCTCTCTCCACCGTCATCTTGCTTTTCCGGCAACTGATGGTGCCCCTTCCCTTCCACCGGCAATTGATGGTGATTATTCTTTTTTGTCTCTAAATTCAAGTTTTCAAATTCAATGCGTTTAATTACGCCTTGTAGCCAAATTTTGGATTTCTTTGCGTTTTTAATCTCATCGGCATTGAAGATACATAGGAAAAAAAATATTGTATACAATATTTCTTTCTACTTCTGGAATTTTACTAAAGGAAGAAGATTGATTACAAATACCAATCATAGACAACAACTCTTTTTTTCAATCCTTCGGAATTTTAGATGGTAAGAATAATAATTTTATATGTAACTTATTTTACTTTTATTTAACGGACACTTTATGTGAAATAATTAAAATGACAAACTCATGAATCAATCATATCAAGTTTAAATCTAAAAAACTAAAGTGAAAAGTTATTGAGAATCGTAGGATTTATTTGGACTGAAAAAGCAGAATTTTTCTGTTTTGATTTGTTATCTTTTTGTTGCCACCTGTCCAGTATCCGTATATGTACCTCTATCCCATTTTTCTTTTCCTTAAATTTTGAAACAGTCTCTCCCTCCTCCAAAGCCGTACATTAGGCAAACCCGCGCATCTCTCTCGCTCCTCCTCCTTTCTCTCTCTCTCTCTCTCTTTCTCTTTCTCTCTCTCTAAAATTCTCCTCCACTCGCTTCTGCCTTCTGGGCTGTGGCTGCCTCTTCTAGTTTTTGGTTAATCCTCTCCGAAATCTCATCTGCAAGGGAAAAACCAAACAAAAACCATAGAACAACCCATTAGCCCCGAACCTCCCCAAAACAATCCAAAAACGTTGTCTTTCTGTATTGTTAAATTTCTGTTCCTTTTACTTTTTTTTTTCTCCAACGAACGACTTTGTTTTTCTTCGATTCTCTAGTGTGTTCAAGGTCAACCTTTTCATCTGTCTCTATAAATTATTCATCTTTTGGGGTCGATTGGGACTTTTTGCATGCGTGAAATTCTTCTGGTGCTTGTCCTTGGGTTTGATTTGTACCTGAAGAGTTTGTTTGTTTGAATTTTTTCTATCCAGCTGTGGAAATTGAGTCGTTTTCTTAGAGTTTATTGCCATTCTTTTGTTTGATTAATTTTTTGGAAAAAAAAAAAGAGTGTTTGGTGACGAGGTACTTGGGATTTTGAAGATTGTTTTGTTTGTTTTATGTGGAATATAAAAGAAAGGGAGCTGGTGTTGATTTTTCTCATTGGTGCATAGTTACCAACATTGGAGGCAATTGGGTTGTTGGGATTAAGTTTCAACTGGATGAGATATTTCTGTTTCGTTTGTTGAATTTAAGGATATCTGTGTTGGGGAAATCGATTTTTTAACCCGAAAAAGGCTTTTTGAATTGATCTGTTTTGAACATTTGTCATTGATGGGATTCATCCAAATCTGGCAAAGATGATGATGGCGAAAAAATCGAAGCTTTGTTGATCATGTCTCTCTAAGACAGCAGTTTAACACAGATTTGTTTCTGGGATTTGCTTGTTTTCTTTTTATTGTTTTTGGTTGTTTCGGTTACCGTTTGGCGGTTGGTGTTCCGTGTTTTGGTTGTTCTGCATTGATTGTTAGTAATGGATTCAAGGACAAGTGAGAATGTTGAAGTTGCAGATGTACCAAACATGGTGGATCACCAGAAAGGTAATATGAATTCAAAACTTAGGAGTGCAGGGAGTATGAGTTTCAAAGAGGTGGAACCAAAAATTAATGGCACAGGAAGTATTAGTAGCAAAGAGATGATCTTCCGAGCAGATAAAATCGATTTGAAGAACTTAGATATACAGCTTGAGAAACATTTGAGCCGGGTTTGGTCCAGAAACATTGAGAGTACCAGGCCTAAGGAAGAATGGGAGATTGATTTAGCTAAATTGGAAATAAGATATATTGTAGCTCGAGGGACCTATGGTACCGTATTCAGGGGCACCTATGATGATCAAGATGTTGCAGGTAATCACTAATAATCCATTCCATTGTAATTTTGATTTGTTCGGTCTTGTAGGATATTGTATTTTGATTTTGATTACAATTGAGTTGTCAACTTCTTGTTGAATGCATATTCTCTAGGTATCTTGGATGTTAATTTGGGATCTCATCGCTAATTTCATTTGGATTCGAATATAACTATAATGATGTAATATTAGCATTTGAATAATGGTGTGTTATGTTAAAGCACTAATTTGGAATATATCAAGTTTTTCGGCATAACTGATTACATGTTCCATGTTCACATTTGAGGCGTGATATGTAAGTGTTACATATTATTCATGGTATGCATGGAATTTATCTTAGATATTCACCTTATCTATTCTTGACGTAGTGATGTACTACAAGGTTGTGATTAATGACCATTCATGATTCTGATATGACTGCAGCAACTCTTAAATAATATGGATTTTATTTACAGTTTTTGGCTTCTGTTACTGAAAGTACAATTGTATGTATAGTTAATTCTGTACTGATGTTTATCGGACTTTCTTTCTAGATGTGAATATGTGCATAAATCATGTTGTTTCATTCTGTTTCCGCTAAATGTTTATCAGTCATATGAGTAGGTGTTGGTTCATATCTGCTATCTTGGATGATTCCGACAATGTAAACTTAGGGGTACAACTTCGTATTTGAATGATCTCAACTTGGTAATAGTTTATAATGAATGTGTTAATTAGTATAATGTTAGACAAGCCTTGGAAATAGTAGTTCAAAAAGGAAAAAAAAAACTTGTGGATGTCAGTAAATTAATAATATATATTATTTTGGTTATTTGAAAACGGGTAGGAATGGAAGAGCTTAATTTGTGTAGAGAGTTAAATGTCATACTTTTGGGATTTTCTATTGTGGCATGAGAACTTAATGCATAGTTCTAAATTCTGCAAGTGTAGTGTTTATGAACTATTGATATTGTGATTTGTTTGGTATTGTCTTATCTGGAATCCAGTGGAGTTTTGGTCATTTTTCATGGTGGTCTCCTAGCATTATGAATGAATATTTGCTTTTTGATATTGTATAACAACGTGCGATTTAAATTTGGACTAGTAAACTGATGTCAAATAAGAGCAACAAAATTATATGCCTCCTTTTTTGCATGCATATCAAATTCTAATTGCAACCACATGCTATATATAATAGTGAAGCTGTTGGACTGGGGGGAGGATGGCTATGCCACAGGTGCTGAAACTGCTGCTCTACGGGCCTCATTTCAAAAAGAAGTAGCTGTCTGGCACAAGCTTGACCATCCTAATGTTACAAAAGTACAAACCCGCTTTTCTTTTTATCTTGTATCCAGTTTTGAAATCTGCATTTTAATATTAAAGAAATTGTCGGCTGTGGAGTGATTATTTTCATCTTGTGCTGGTGATCTTGATAGTTATTTTAGTAAATGATTCGGTAAAATAGTAGTGTCCCAGTGCCTTAATGTGGTTCTTTGTTTGTCATAATCCTTTGGGTTTTAACGATTCTCCCTCTCCTCCCTCCCTTCTTTTATCACAGTTCATTGGAGCTTCAATGGGAACTTCAGATCTTAAAATTCCTACAAAAGGCTCTTCAAGTGACGGTGTAGATTCTCATCCTACTAGAGCGTGTTGTGTTGTTGTGGAATATCTTGCTGGTGGGACGCTAAAGCAATTTTTGATAAGAAACAGGCAAAAGAAACTTGCCTTTAAGGTTGTGATCCAACTTGCTTTGGACCTCTCTAGAGGGTGAGTTCGATTGTTCTCTACATTTCTGTGCTATATACTTTTCTAGTAAAATTCTCATTGATCTAGGTTTTTAACCATTCCCTTTGCAGTCTTAGCTATCTGCATTCTCAAAAGATCGTACACCGTGATGTCAAAACAGAGAATATGCTACTTGATACTCGCATAAACCTTAAAATAGCTGATTTTGGTGTTGCTCGTGTTGAAGCTCAGAATCCAAGAGACATGACTGGTGAAACTGGTACCCTTGGATACATGGCTCCAGAGGTATTACTCGTAGTTAATATCTTCATATGTTTTGTTATTCTTAAAAGCTAACTCTTTGTTGTGCTCTATGAACTTGGAATATAAGAACAAAAAGAGAAGAGAAATACGACTAACCTCACTACAACATCTATAATTATGCTTAGTTTTTAAATGCACCTTTTTGTTTGCTATTGCACTTCAAAAATTGATGGAAATAACATGCGGCCTTCATGTGTGAGCAAGCATGTGCTCTTCATGTGAGAAAAGCCCAAACTACCTGCCAAAACCTTACCCACATATTTTCCAAAGCGACCAAACTGCCATAAGCCTGTTGTGGGGCAAATGCAAAGGTAACTGGGCTCAAGAAAATGGTATTGAGAAAAGCTCTGACATGGTCTTAACATCCGTGTTGAAATGTTGGGGATTGCTTGTTGTTGCTAGTATTCACAGCGTTGAAGATAGTATTACAAGGCCACCTTCCTTTTACTTTTGCCTGAGTAATCACCACTTATTTGTACTCACTACTACTCCATCACACCTTATGACCCCTTATTCATAAACCACCAAATTTGCAATTGAAGGCGATGAAGATGGAGACTCAAATGAGGGTGTTTTTTTGAACATCCAAATTTGATTACAAAATCAGTCTTTCCCAATCCCCTTCCTTGGCATTCTTGCAATGGCCAGGCATCAAAACTCAACAAGTAATACATTGGGGTCGAGTTTGATAACCTTTTATTGAACACACAAGCAGCACCACTAAGCATTTAAGAACCAGTCCTATGACCTTTTCTTGTTAGTAAATAAAAGCTTGACTGATTATGTTGAATCGAGCTTTAGATGAAAGAGAAAGAAGGGGAAGGTGAGAGGGTTTAGTTGAAGAGTTGTGGATTGTAGGATCATAATTGTGGATCACACTGAAGTCTTTGTTGCTGATGGTACAGATTGAGGAGTCCAGGTCCTTGCCTGGACCAATACTTGGCACATGAAGGGCCAACCTTTTAAGAAAGATATTAGAGAGTTGGATAGAGAGAGAATGCATAATGGCTATGATATCAAGAAAATGGGATGTGTGCCAGTCGGGGTGTATGATGTGAGTTTAGTGAAAAAGGGTTTAACTATTAACTGTAGAATCAGAAGTTATCATTTGAAACAAGCAAGGTTCTAAAAGGCGCCAGTTGGGTGGCGGACATGACCTAGCACCTAGGCGTCTAGATGGGCCTAGGCGGTTTTTTTAAATTTAATTATATTTATCATATTACATATAAATGAATGTCTACTTCTACTTAAAAAAAATTACATAGTTGTATTAGGATACATACATAAATTTTGTATTGGGATACATAAATTATAAAATAAAATGACATATAGATTATAAAGTATTAGAACATATTGAAAACATGGGGAACAAGCATATAATGAGTGTTCTTCTAAGTATTTAGCAAGTCTCTTACAATTCATTGAAAAAATAAAATGCAAAATGAAAGTTAACTATTTTTTGTATTAAGTGAGAGTCACGGCCTATGCGGGTTTAGCTAGGCTAGGCGGGTGCCTAGGAGGATCTAGGCGCTCCTTCTTAATTTTCAAACACCTAAGGGATTCGGGACCGTGGCCAGTGACGCTAGGCGGGGATTTTTAGAACAGTGGGAACGAGCCTAAAGTTTATGGGGGCATAATTGCATTGTGTTCCTCCTTGATGAGGTAGAACTATCGTTTGTGCTCTTAGTTGCTAAGAGTATGTACATAATTTTTTTCCCAGTTTTATGTTGGGCTTGAAATGAATGTCAATGAACAAAAATGAATTTATCATATTCTCTCCTCGCTTGACATTCTTATTGCATATCTGAACACGCAATTCAGTACAGTAGCTCATGTGGTAGCATGTAGGGTTTTCGGTGGTAAATTCTTAAGCTAACAAGATATTTATGTAGGTTCTAGATGGTAAGCCTTATAATAGAAGATGTGATGTCTATAGCTTTGGCATATGCTTATGGGAAATTTATTGCTGCGACATGCCCTACCCAGATCTTAGCTTTGCTGATGTATCATCTGCAGTTGTTCGGCAGGTCAGTTTTTGTTCTCTAATAGATATCTCTCTTTTAGCTCATGTAAATACAAGGACATAGAGCTTACTTTTCTGTTTGTTGGTTTAGTCTGAATGAACTTTGGTTGTCTTGGTAAAGATTTTAATTTTTGTGTCCTGTTGAAGATTTGACCTCTAAATTTTTATGGGCGTTTTATTGTGCATATTTTATGGTTTTGTTATCAGAACCTACGACCAGAAATCCCCAAATGCTGTCCAAGTTCTTTGGCAAGCATCATGCGCAAGTGCTGGGATGGAAATGCAGATAAACGTCCTGAAATGGGTGAGGTGGTGAAAATGTTGGAAGTAATTGATACGAGCAAAGGAGGCGGAATGATACCTGAAGACCGTTCTCCGGGCTGTTTCTGTTTTGCTCCCACTCGCGGGCCATGAGCTTATTACCCTTTATTTGTACCAGCCACCAAAGGAAATTGATTGGGCTGTTTTCTTGCCAGAAAGATGATAAAAAGAAGGATGGTAATGTTTTCTCGGATATGCAGTTGCCGATTTTCCGCTTAGCGTTGCAAACTTGTTTCTTTATTGAATGAAGAAAGGTTTATGGAATTTTCATCAATCTCTATTCCAGCTTGTGTTTGTGATGTGGTTCTGTTTCGATATTGGGACGTGCCATATCAAATGGTCCAAGGTGGTTACAGTTGAGGGCTTAAGGTGTTCGTGCATTTGAGAATAAATTGATCAAACCTGGGATCGAACGCGTGCTGTACAAGGAAAAAAAGAGCCGAGGTAATCGTTGCTTAGGAACTAACCAGGATTGACTGGACAGGAGCAAGTTGAACAGCTTATTAAAATGTATTTCGGGTTGGTTTTAAAGGAACTTAAAAAGTGAGGAAATTTGAGAGATTTCATTAAGTATTTTAATTATTCATAAATCATAAATCTCACCCCCTTCTATTGAGATTTTGAGAGATTTCACTCAAAACTTACATATAATGTATGTGAATCGTTGAAAACTTCATCAAACCTCATAGATTTATCAATCTATTAATCTTCAAAATCTCAAGTAAGTGCACCCCCTTCGTTGATTTACTCCTTAGTTGATTTTATTTTGGTCAAATACTTTTGGAATTGATCGATAAGGAAGATATGTGGAGATTCTTGAAAACTAACCGTTTTATCTAGGGGATTTTAACAAAAAGCTCCGGTACCGTTCATTTTAACGAAAAACCACATTTTTAATCTAAAAAGTCAATCTTGATACTATTTACTTACGACGCCTTTTTGTCATTTCTGTTAAAACTTAAAGTTTTCAAGTATTTTTAATTAGTTTTCCCTTTTATTTATGCAATAAAGACTTTTGGTCTCGTTTTTCAAATTTTCAAGTAAGGTGGTTTGTAGCTCAATTAAAAGTATTTTCACACCGTGACTCGCAAATACAGACTATTCATGAGTTAGGGTGTGAGTTATATTTTGACTAGTGAAATTATACTTATATTAAAACTCAGCTTAGAAACACTGTTCATCAAGTGTTTTGAAGAAAATACCCTTATTTTCTTCTTCATATCGCGTTCTTTTTTGGAAGTTTTAACGATACACTTCCAGTACTATTCACGTTTAACGAAAAACCATATATTTTAACTTTTTCTGATACTATCCAGTACACCTTTATTTGTTGTTTTTCATTAAAACTAAAGTTTTTTTTTTTTTACTTTTCATTAGTTTTTCTTTTCTTTTTTCTCCTTGGAACAATTAAATTACCAAACTACCCATATTATCCACGTGTTGACCATGGTTAGAACTACTACGAGTACAAACTCCCCAATTCTGCTTTCATTTCGACCTCCTCGCCTTCCCTCTCTCAGAAACCTCGACTTCTCTCTCCTCTTTCCCGCACAAATCGTCCTCCAAAATCAATCCCTAAACACTATCCGTCCTCTGCCACCGCCACCTTCGACGACGGCACTGGCAATCAATTCTTCTCCCTTTCCTACTAGACATAGACATGGTTCGTATGCTCTGAATAGCCAAGGGATTTACCTTTATTTTTTTTTTTGGAATTTTCAGAATTTTGGGTCGTTAGAAGAATAACCTGGTTGCTTGACATGGTTCGTATGCTCTGAATAGACATGGTTGCTTGCATGCAAAAATATAATTCTTGTATGCATAAACATTGTGCATAAAAGAAACCCAATAAAAAAAATTTATACTTGAAAGAAACATAATAATATATAATGTTAGTAACATATATAATATATATATATATATATAATATATATATTTTTTATTTTTTATTTTTATTTTTAAATGCGGGTTATTACAAATATTTATCTATGCACCTTCAAGTTCAGTTCTCCCTCTCCCAATATTACTTGTACAAAAGAGAACATAAAGCCATTCGAGACCCTCTTCGAGTCTATCTATATGCCTGAATGCTCTCAAAGATACTCAAATCCACTTGAGTGGTTAATGTTCTAAAAGTTTTGCACAAAGATGGTAAATAATGTTGTCATACCAAAAATTTGGTACAACAATTGATAAGAAATTTTAGTACGATTATCGTATCAAACAAGTCATACCTAAAATAGAAGAGAACAATCAAAAGTATAGAACAAAATAATAGAATTTAGAACCCAAGCTACATCTAATGTTTGCAAGCAACTCATGGCCGCTCTATATATAGTATTTGAGCTTTGGTTTGGGATGGATCAAAAGAAGTGGGCAATAAGGAGCTCTTCGTGAGGATCGTGGAGATTCTTCAATCACATATGTTTATCGTATATTGTGCGGTCAGAAATCATTGTAAATTTTTTTTATTTAAAATTAAATATAAACAGTATCTGACGAAAACTAGTTGCACGATGTACGATAAATAAATGTGATAGAAGGATCCCCGAGATCCTCACAAAGAGGATCCGAAGAGGATCCTCAGTCGTACTCATAGTTCTAAAAGCAAAGAATTGGACGCAATAGGGATACCAAACAGACTGATTAGTTTTCCTTCACAAGTAGCATGGCAAGATTTCACATGCCAATGCTAGAAATGATGGGTGTTCAAATGAAAGATTTCGACCAAAAAAAAAAAAAGCGTAAGTGAGATTCTAGTATGAATTCGCACGTCTATCCATTAGAGAATGACTTATATGATATAAATATACCGTCACGGTGATGTTTGGCACTAATCAAATAAGGACACAGGTTTTGTTTACATTTCCTTATTTCATTGATACGGAACACCACTTAATAGTGTATCCATTCCCTGTAAACCATTCACCATGCATCTAGGTTAGTTGGAGTTGGATTACATGCGCCTTTGAAGAGCTCCAAATGACCCAGAGGAAATCTCTCCTCAACACTTCTTGTTGTCATACAGTTGCCATATAAATATGAGTGGAGTTATGTCGTGCCTTGGACTTAGGATCGGTGTAAAAATAACTCCGCGCTCGATGAATAAGTTAAAATAAAAATAAAAGCGAAGAAATGAAATAAAAGGTTGAAAATAAACTTTACTGTTACAATGATAACTCCAAATCCTTACAGGGATACATAAAATAATAAAAAAAATTATCTTGCTCTTCTAACATATAAAGGGCGAGTGAAACAATAGCTCGTCTACCCTCTTTAGTTTTATTTTTCAACCCTGTATTTTGGTTATCGTTATTATTATTATTTTTACTTACACACCGAGTACGAAGTTACTTTTTTCACCGATCCCAATTCCGACGGTTACAAGTTACTAGTCGGACGAATTTAGTAATGGATCATGAGGAGGATCCTCACCTCACTTGTCTCCTGCAGTATTGCTTTCTTGATTCCTGTAGGTACTGGCGGAAGTGGGACTTGGAACCAAATGTCCTTGTAATGCCTAAGGCACAAATGCACAGTAGTTACGCATTACCACCTTTTACTTTTCGGATGTTACATGATTTTTTATTTTATTTTATTTTATAAAATACCCTTTTATCTTGATAACAAGATATCTCTAGCTGATATGATATGACGTCCTTTAATTTACGTAATCGATTATTATATGGATTAACCGTACACTTTTGGGCGAGTGGTGGCACCACTTGCACCAAGTTATATCATTGTCACTCTCCATATAATGCAGCCTCTCCCACTTGACCTTCACCTTATCTATAACTTTCACCCATGAAGAATGTAGACGTTAAATGGACTGTATGCATGCATAGAAACTGGAAAATATATGGCCAAATTTTTTTATGGTCCTTATGGTGACACGCCACTTTTAATATCATCTTTGTTGTGTAAAAGTTGTTAATTAAACTTCGCCTATTAGCAATTCAGGTCTAAACCCAAACTTTTGTTGGTATTTCGGAAACAAATTCACATGACTATCAAGGGAGGGGTTAAATTCGTCATTTCAATTTAAATTACATTATTGTACAAATATAATTAGGGGTGAATTTTTTTGTCAAATTGTCGTGCCATACCTGTTGATGCACAAAATCAGTGAGGACTTTGGTACAACAGAAAGTGTTAAGTTTGTGACCTTCGCTAGATTGCTCCGGTCACTAGTGTGGATAAGTATGTAAATGGATAGGGACAAGGAAGCAAACACAAGATGTACGTGGTTCATCCAGATTGGCTACGTCCACGGAGTAGAGGAGTTCTCATTAATTGTGAAGTGTTTGCACAAGTATATAGGTTCAAGCTCTCATTTAGTGAGTACTAGTGAATGATTTAGTACAAATGACATTAGGAAATATTGTGAGAGAATGATCTCTATTTATAGAAGAGAGTTTTCTAGTTTCATTCTGACGACGATCTTCATCCAGCCGTTGATGTCCCGATGACGATCTTTGAAGACAATGCAGCTTGCATCGAACAACTCAAGAAAGGTTACATCAAAGGAGACACACACCAAGCACATTGCACCAAAGTTCTTCTTTTCACATCAACAACAAGAGCATCAGAAGATTAAAGTCATGCAAATCCGTTCACAAGACAATTTGGCTGACCTCTTCACCAAATCATCACTGCCGAAGACGACGTTTCAAAAGCTTGTTTATGGAATTGGTATGCGTAAACTTTTTGAGTTGTAACTTTGCTATTTCTCTTTGGAATTATGTCAAACTCAGGGGGAGTATCCTGTAATGATTTTTTTAAATAAAAAATAAATGTACCTAATGCTTACATGTATGGTAACCAATTTCCCAAATTATATGAAATTAAAAAATAAAAAAAACAGTTAATCGTATGTGGTCTCTAGGAAGAAATCACATAAGTCCTACGCATCAAGATTTAGATATTTAAAATTTGATTTAACAGTTATAATTATTGTAACTTTTAAAGAAACCTTCTATCTGTAGCCGTTTGATCAAATTTCAAGGGTCCGAATCTCTAAATCCCTAGGATTTGGTGGGAGAGACCCGGATGGGATCTCTTCAATAGTCTCTTGGCACCAGAACCTCCAAACTTTTCTTTTTTTGGCGAGAATTAAATCTAAAATCTCTTACTCAAGTAAAGAAGAATATCACTAGACCGTATTATTAAGTTGCAACAAACCTTTTTTTTTTCTCTCATAAAATTTCAAATTTTGTCCCTCTCACTCTCCAACTGGCCAGAATACATTGGACCAACATGTATAGCCCATCCATCCTAATCAGGCTCATTAATTATTTGGTATTCGGACATTGTTTAACTTTCCTTCTTTTTTTTTTTTTTTTTTTTGGAAACTACTTTCCTCCTTATCTAATGACTAATGACGGGGTTATAATTATACACCAAAGTTCTTACTCTCACATTCATCATAACAATTTTACAACATAGATAATGCAGCTTGTTTGGGTGAAAAATTTCCGAATTTTGTATTCTTTTTTACTTTCTAGAATCAGTATATATGTTTCTGTTTTAACTAATTTAATAATTTCGCATGATTTTTTTTTATAGGAAAACTAATATTTTAGCCAAGTATTTAGAAAATTTTCATTTTCTTGTAT